CAGGACTGCCTGGGGGCACTGGCTGGAGCAGTGGTGGGGGGCACCACGGGCCCCCGTGAGCCCCAGGCCCAGCAGCCCTCGGGCTCCTCTGGCAGCGAGTTCCTGTGGGCTCAGCAGCACAGCGCCGAGCTCAGGCGGCCGCAGGAAGCAGAGGAAGAATGGGGCTACAATGAGAGCAGGCAGACAATGGGTGCTGGCAGTGTGCAGGGCCAGCTCAGCGCCCGCGGGGCCACCCAGCACCCACGGGGCTGCTGCCACCACGGACACGTGCTCCTGGCCGTGGCCACCCTGCTGGGCTGAGCTCGCCCGTGCCCTCTGCGAGCGGCAGAGGTGGGTGTTGCAGACTGAGGTGTTGCTGCCAGGCCCCAGAGGACAGCTGCCCTTCTGCCAGCCTGGGTGACAGCTGGGTGCCTGACCGCCCTTGGGAAACCAACATTGCCACCTCGTGATGGCTGGTGACCCTGGGACTGCCAGCCCAGCCCTGCTTTCCACCAGGAGCCTCCCCTTCTGCTCCCACTGCTGGAGGAAAAAAGAGTGGGGAGGCCCAGCACAGGCACTGGCCACCAGCGGGGTCTGATGGGTTCAGCCCCTGGCCCGAGGATCTGGGAGGACTTTGGTCCACCTCAACCCAGAGCACTTGGGGTGACTCCCATGGTGGATCCCAGCCTGGACACAAAGTCTGCCCCAAAGCACACAAGGGATGGGCAAAACTTTTACCTTAGTGCTGCCTTTATTTTGTCAGGTTAACACTAGGCGTGGAGGACATCAAACACTACGACAAAAGGCCTGAGCCCACACACCAGACCTAATTCACATTGCTACACAGACCAAAAACGAATGGGAAACAGGACAAGGAACACAGAGAGCTTCAGTCTCCTGGGAGGAGGGACAGGACTGGCTTAGCAAACACTTCTGCCACATGGGAGAAGAAGCCTTGAAGGCTTCCTGGAGCCAACAGGGATAGGGAATAACCTGAAACACAGGGCTGAGTCCCTCCAGAGGCATCTTGGAGCGAGCGGGCTGGGAAGGAGGCTAGAGTTAGGCCTACCTAGGTGGCAACACTGGAGGTTGAGGGCCTATGCTGTACCACTGGGAATAGCTCGCACGTCTGGGGACCCCCTTTGCTGAGGGGCAGGCCCAGGGGCCAGTGACAGGTAACCCTTTAGCTGCCAAGCATCTGCGGCGTGAGGAACGCCCTGTCGCTGGCACTCAGCGGGCATCGGGGTCGGCAGCACCACACACACAACGCCCCCACCACACAAACCCTCTCTCCTCCTTCACACACTCCTCTTCAGCCTCAGGGCATTGTCCAGGGCGACCAGCTGGCGCAGGAAGCCCCGGTTGGGGATGATACCACGGTGGTCCTTGACCGTCTTTATGGCTTCTACAAGGGGCATGTGGTGGCGGATCATGAGGTAGGCGAGGACCAAGGTGGCCGACCTGCTCACCCCGACAGCACAGTGCACAAGGATCCTTCCTGGGGGTGAAACACAGGGGCTGTGTCACAGCAGACCAAATATCCAGAGCCAAAAAACACTGAGGACCCGACTGTTGGCCACAGTGCACCCTGGAGCTGTGGCTCAGGTGTGCAGCCTTTGGGTTTAGGCGTGGGGCCCCTGATACAGCGTGGCTGTGATCCGCTGAGGGC